GTAACTGCAGGTCTGTAATAACGTAATATTTACCAACAGTATGAATTAAAAATTAGAATTTCGTACTTGGGATTTGGGCCCTTGGAATAACGAGCAGAGCTTTCGAGAACAAGTTTATTACGTGCTTGATACAGACTGGCGCACGTGAAGCACACAGTTGGTTTTATAACTGCGATGTGCTTCCGTTGCATTTTTTTTTGATAAAATAATACAAAAGCTACGTTACTTATACTACGTGATAAAACATAATGGGAAGCAAAAATAGAAAAAGCATGAGATATTAAATCAATCACATGATTTTAGTCTTCAAAATCTAACTGTAATGTTGATTTACTTTGGTCCCCTTTTCAATTTTGCGATACCAAAATCAATCAGTATCACGAAGGTAATTCCAATTTTTTGTAATCCTGTTTTTTATTTTCAGTAGAGGTGGCAGTAGTCAAATCAGTGGGTCACTTTCAAATGGACGCTCCCAATCAAAAACAGTCAGTGAAAACACTGACAGCACACAATATTTTTAAAATGTGTTTTAAATGATTAAAAAAATGTTTACGATATTTTGAATGTTACTATGTGAGCAAAATATCTCATTTCATGTAAAAAATAATATTTAAAAAATGTACAAAAAAAGTATTTTATAAATTAATTAATTTATAAAAATTAATTAATCTAGATAAATAGATCAAAGAACAGAACCTACTTGTTTATACAGGGTGTCTCACGGTGACAGTCCATTAGAATTATTTCAGAGACTACTTCGATTTGAATTTTGAAAATTTGGGATAAAATAAGCAAGTTGATGGCGACTTCCGGTATAATCGGAAGTGGTACGTGGACGCCATTAATTTAGTTGAGAAGGGCATGCCCGAAAACGCGGTACTTATCCTGACCATAAATTCAGTTGTCAACAAATGGCCTAGCAGTGCAGTGCAGCAATGCGGAATTTGGTGTGAATCAAGTAATTTTAATTTATTATAGGCACCTTCTATTAGTCATTAATATTGTAACTGCTTAAGGGCGAATGAAGAGGGATATTTTGTTTACTAACATTATTACAACATGGCATTTTGAAACGGAACAAAACGAAATTTACCATCAATATAATGTATTGTTTGAAGACAAATAATTAAAATATGTTGTAGGTCAAATGAACATTACAATAAAAATTTTCTACACATTATAAACAAATTACTATAATTTTTTACCTGTAACAGAAAACTATGAAACTCATTAAATTTTATTGCTAGGCGTTTTTATACATATTCAACTGATTTCGGAAAGACTATACCAGCATTATTTTAGGGTTTATAGAATACTCTGCCATTTTAATCAAAGATAAGTAAAGGTTTGATGGTAGGTCTTACAAGTTATACTTATGTAAGCAATAAAATGCGCCAAAACGTCGATATATTATTCAAAAGTAGGCTTGAATCGAATATCAAATTTATTCAAAGTAAATGTTGCAAAATAATTTCTTATACCTAATTTGGTTTACTGAGAATATAATCGCATTTATCTATATTTGTATCTACAATAAACAATTAATTTGGAAATTGACATTATTTATAAATATTCGTCCTTAAATGCCCCTAAAAAAAATTGAAATATTAAAAACGAAGGACTTTTTGGTTTGTGTAAAAGAACTGGACGCTAAAGTTAAATATTGCCATAATAAACCCCCAAACCCTCTTTTTTGTATTTAAATGCATCAAGATTAAACGAAATACAAACTTACATGATTTTTATTTTAAAACTGCCTAAAATAGAATTATCTTTTATTGTGGAATTTGGGTGTATGAATGAAATAAATTTTGATTCAACCAGCATATAAATATGTATCTCATATAAATTTAAATAACTTTTCGTCTAATTTAATCCAAATTAGTTTCGAATATTGTTGGTAATTTACTCCAAAATTAATGCAATTAGAAATCGTAAATATTCTTAATACCGCCCTGGTTTTAGCCACTTCTCCACGATCTCAAATAATCTTATCTTAAAGTAAATGGTCAAAAATCATAGATACTGTAGATGTACATGATTGTTATCAAAATACATGTTATAATTTGCTCGTAAGTATACAAATTACTTACCTAAGTATTAGGTAATTCGTTCATTAAATTTCAATATTTCGATTGATAATCAACCAGAGGTTAATATCGATGTTATTCAGAGTTTATATTATTGAACTGTAACCGTAGTAATAGATAAATCTATACGAAATTCTTATATATTCAAAATATATATTTAGTGTTTCTTTTGCAGATTGCAAGGATGGCCCTGAATAATGCGAAATCTGTGATATTTGGAATAACAAAGAATAATAAAAATGGCTTTAAACGTATCCTTCTTNCTCAAATAATCTCAAGTAAATAGTTAAAAATCGTAGATGCTGTAGATGTACATAGATGATTGTTATCAAAATACATGTTATAATTTGCTCGTAAGTATACAAATTACATAAGTATTAGGTAATTCGTTCAATAAATTTCAATATGTCGATTGATAATCAACCAGAGGTTAATATCGACGTAATCCAGAGTTTATATTATTGAACTGTAACCGTAGTAATAGATAAATCTATACGAAATTGTTATATATTCAAAATATATATTTAGTGTTTCTTTTGCAGATTGCAAGGATGGCCCTGAATAATGCGAAATCTGTGATATTTGGAATAACAAAGAATAATAAAAATGGCTTTAAATGTATCCTTCTTATAAGAAGTTCTATAGAACAAAGTATATTAAATTTTTAGTGTAGATCCTTAATGATAAATTTAGGTTTATTTTCGGCGAAGAAATCTGACCGCGGTAAGTTTAAGGTAATTATATACATAACCTAGAATTATTATCTACAGAACAGGGTCGTAGCAAGGAGTTAGGGTTGCCTGAACCCGAAAATGAAAAATGTTTAAAAATTTGACAACATAAACTAGGTTTATTTACGCAGCCTGTCTAAATAAATAAATATTCAATCTTGAACCCTGTGTATTTGTTAAATTCATAAAGAAACATTAATTTCGAAATTAATGATAAACTCAAATTTTAATTAAATATAATTTATGTCCCTTTATTTGGTAAAATAGCTTACTTTGTTAGTAAATCAGCGTATCTGCATATTACTTGCTGTTTTTACTTTGAATTTCTTAAATTAATATTTTTAAAAAATGCTTAGAGTAATCGCATTAAATTTAAATTTCAATATACAGTGTTAAAAAAAGTACGACAACCGAGTTCAACGTTCGTTGTCGTATCAAGTCTTATAAAAATAGCCGAAATGTATAGGCTCTCCATTTTCCTGGCCATTGCCACTCTTGTAATTATAGAATGCCCGGACCACCTCTATTCGACGCAGAAAGGTCCAACCTACACAACGACACCATAATCACACCGATCGGAGCTCCCCTGCGCCCAGCGGTGACGGCCGAACATTTGTTACAATAAAAGTTTATATACACATATATTTTTCGAACATCTAATAACAGTAAAAGATCGTTTTCGTACACTCAGTTTTAAGGTCTTATATATTGAATATGTTGACTACCTAGAGAGTGAATTAAAAAAGTTTTGGCGTTAAAAAATTAAACAAATGGATAAAGAACATGATAACAAAAGGTCTATTTAATGCAGTGATTCAACTAAGAAGCGATATGGTTTTAGATAATCACAATGCACAAAGTGCAGCATCAAGATATAATAGGATTCTCACTTGTATTTGTGATTGACAAGTACATTTCTTTACTTTCAGTTGCATTTAACTGGCAGGATCCGTTGAACTTGGAATCTCAGTTAAAAGAGGAAGAAAAATTAATTAGAGACCAATTTAGAGGATACTGCCAGCAGAAACTCCTTCCAAGAGTAATCGAAGCAAATCGAAATGAAGGTAAATATTTTAAAG